ATACCGAAGCTAAACCTACTACCAATGTAATGGAGCTAACAGGTAATATTTTCGACTCAGAATCTACTACATCAATAGCACATTGCATTTCCGCTGATTTTAATATGTCTCGAGGTATCGCCCTTCAAATGAGACGGAAATTCGGGCAGGTGGACCAATTGCGGAAAGAACAAAAATCAGTTACTGATGTAGCCGTTATTCAGTCAGAACAACGAACAATATTTTATTTATTAACAAAAGAGCATCACTGGCAAAAGTCGACGTATCAAGCAATCTATAGTTGTTTACAGAAACTTAAAGAATTGTGTATGCAATTAAAAATAACCAGTCTAGCTTGTCCAAGGATTGGAAGTGAAGCAGATGGACTACAATGGGAAATCATCCGAAACATGTTTCGAAACACCTTTGGAAATTCGAACATCAAAGTCTGTATCTACACCAGAGATGAATTAACAGAAGACCAGAAAATACAGAAAATAAAAGAATTGCATGAAAACCCGCTAGGAGGACATCATGGATTAACTAGAACGTTCAATAAGATGTACGAAGAACATAACTGGAAGGGCATGAGAAAACAAATCAAACAATTCATAAAAAAATGTCCAAACTGTCAAAAGAATAAAACAGCGACAAGAACACCAAAAGAGCCTATGGTGATTACCAGCACAGCTACCAGAGCCTTCGAAAAAATATTCCTAGATGTCGTAGGACCACTACCCCGTTCACATAGTGGAAATGCTTTCATCTTAACGTTACAAGATGACCTCACTAAATTCGCATGGGCTTCCCCCATGGAGAATCATGAAGCGAATACGGTAGCACAACATTTTGTGACCAAATTCGTGTGCTTACACGGAATACCGCAAAGTCTGGTGACAGACTGTGGTACGGAATTTTTAAGCAACGTTTTTAAAGAGGTGTGTAAACTCCTAAAAATTAGACAGACGTCGACCACACCTTACCACCCTCAGAGCAATGGCAGTCTCGAGAGAAGTCATCGTTCTTTAGCAGAATATTTACGAAATTTTATCGGAAAAGACCAACTAAACTGGGATACTAGAATCCCATATGCGATGTTTTGCCATAACTCCACTGTTCATTCAGCCACGAAATTCCAGCCATATCATTTGGTTTATGGAAATTCTGTAAAAATCCCCACATCTTTCACTAACGAACCAGAACCTCAGTACAATTATAATGACTACCAATTCGAAGTCAAAAGACAAATGCAAGAAGCACAGGCTTTTGCAAGAAACAATTTGCTGGAAGCAAAAAGCAAGTCAAAGGAACAGTACGACAAGACAGCAAAACATCAAATTTTTGAAATCGGTCAGAAGGTTTTACTACAAGAAAAAGCCGCGAAAAACAAACTGGCCCCGAAGTGGTTGGGTCCATATGAAATTGTAGATGTAAATCCAACAAATAAAAATGTAACCATAAAAAAAAATAACAAGAAGAATCAGACCATACACCAAAATTTACTAAAGTTATTTCACGAAAAATGAAACGAGAAAAATGAATTTGTTCCAGGAAACCCATCATGGCATTCGCTGGAATTTCCAAGAAAAATCCGTCATTCTCGAAAATGGTAATCCTGATAATGTGGATATGGGATAGTACATCAGAAGCTCAAGAGAATTATAACATTACTACCTTCCCGGATCATAAAGGATTCTATTATGAATCTCACGGAATGATCAAAACTTCTCACACTAAATGGAACTTGGTAACGTATGTGGACATTGGAATCTTGACCACAAAATATGATAAGTTGATGACCCAGTATAGCGAAATGGAGACAATTTGTAAGCAAATGATAGCAAACTTTGGTAATGCAGAAATAGAAAACATTTGTAATCAATTCGTAAACCAATTTTCTACTACAACCCGTCCATATTTATATGAAATTCAGTTAAATCGTCGTAACGCGATGTTATCGATAGAGCATAACTCAAATAATGAAATTCGAAATCGCCGAGGATTGGGAGGTACCTTCAAGCGCCTGATCAACGTTTTGTATGGTGCATACTCGAAAATCGACACCGAATTCATATTTAAACAGATAGTAGAATTAACCAAAAACAAAATTCAGAATATTAATTTAGTCAAAGAAAAAACAAGAGTTGTACAAGCAGAAATATTGGATGCAAATCATACTTCACAGGAAATCGCAGAACATCATCAGAAACTCGATAATAACTTGCAGTATTTACAAAGACTGACCAAAGAAAGTATCGTTAAAATCAATAAACTAGAATTTAAAAATAAACTGTTAGAGCAAGCCTTTTTATTCGAGGTAACTCTCAATCAGTATGCTTACGAAACACAAAACCTTATTGCCATTATAAATGCAGCACTGGATGGCAAGATCCACACCAGCGTAATTACCCCCAGAAAATTAATACAGGAGTTAAAAGAAATTAAAATCAACTTACCCATGGGAAACGACCTCCCGATAGAAGTAATACCCGAGTCCATGCCAAACCTTTTCAAAATCTCTGAAATAACGATTTTCGTGCAAAACGAGTACTTAATATTTTCTATTGAAATACCCTTGATTTCAAGTAAAGTATTAAATGTGTATCGAGTTGTTTCATTACCAATGATATATTCTACCAATACATTAATTTTAATTGAACCCGAAGTCGAATATTTGGTAATTAACAATGATAATGAGGAATTTTTCACTATGACAGGGAAACAGTGGGAATCATGTGTAAATTTAGACACTTACAAATTATGTAAAGGTGGTCAAACATTTCACCGCCGCTCGAGATCGAACGTTTGCGAAGTAGCACTTCTAACATATCAACCAATCCCAGAAACTTGCAAAATAAAATTTGTAACATTAACAACGTCCATTTGGGATAAGTTATTGGATTCCAATGCATGGTTATTTTACACACAACCAACTTTAATGACCATCAAATGTGTGGAACCTCCACAAATAGTAACATTTCAGATCTCAGGCGTAGGAAGGTTGACCACCTCCCAAGATTGTGAAATCCATACAGAAAATTCCATTATATTTCCGACCAGTAGATCTAATAGAGGTATCTATACTGATTTAATTCCAGAAAGCAAAAAACAGGAATCAGTATTATCAGAGAGTCTTAAAAATATAATTCCCCAGAACCTAAAAGACATAAGTATCGTACACGATTTTAATTCTTTATCCAAAAGGTTAATAGAAATAAGTAAGTTACCAAAGGTAACAACAAAGTCACTAATAATATTTCAAATGGAATTTCATATGGTACTTGTGTATATCTTAATGTTAACTATAATATCCGTAGTTAGTGGATTAGCTATTAAGTTTAGAAACCGCATAATTAGAATGTACTCTCCGGATTTACCGGATATTTTATCACTGAATAATAAGTAAACATTATAATCATAAATTTAGTTATGAAAACATATTGTACGGAACATTAGGGAACCATTAGGTCCCTAAGTTCCATTTAAGTTGGGGGGTGTTAAGAACCCCTGGCTATATTAGTTAGTAAATATATATAATAGTGTATAAGATAGTATTGTACGACGGCGACTGTCTGGAATTGCTGCGACAGCAATTCCAGGCAAGCGCTGGCTACAGGCACGGCTCGTATAGCAAGCCGTGCCAGTGGCATTTCAGAGCAGTAGACGGAACCTTGTGATTCGCGCCAGAGCATTATTATTGTCAGACCATTTTTTTTCATTAAGTGTATTGTAAGTTTTTTTTCTTTTCAAGTAATATAGAAAGTAACAGATAGTTCGAAAGTGTTCGTTGTTTTATTTGTGCACGGACCTCCAAGGAGATCCGTAACACTAGATTTGCATTAATTGGATTTCAAACAGACCGAAAAAATAATTTATTTAATCCATCGGTACGGTTCGATCACTTCTACCTGAAAAAACTGAAAGTACACCTGAACTCCGAAGTATATCCATATGAAGATTTCCGTGCAGATTTCACAAACAACGTTACAGCTATATTGTGCAAAGCGTATGCCGAATTTCAAAAATCATACTACGAGAGACAATATAGTGAACCTCTACTTGCAAAAAACATTTTCCAGCAGTTTGTACCAATCATAGTCGTGAATTTATCAAGACAGAACGACAATGTAAAATCATCGACTGTAGAATTACGCATCGAGTTCGAAACAGACAAAGCTATTCCAGCAAAGACTGCAGCATATTGCCTCATCTTACACGATCAAATTATAACTTATAGTCCATTTAATGGTGATGTAAGATAATTGTAAATAGCTTGTAAAATAAAAATACTTTTTGACGTGATAACGTCTTATAAATCGATGGAGCCGGCTGCACTCACGGAAAAATGTGCCGTTACCTTTCTGTGAGGCGTTCCATCAGTGTTGCCAGGTTTGGAAAGAGGGATGATCGTACCGCGTCTTCAAAATTATCGTACATTCGTGTGGGATCGTACAGGGAGCAATATTATCGTATGTCTCCACTAGGATCGTACCATCTGGCAACACTGCGGTTCCATTCGCGTAGGCTACCCAACATATGTCGTCAAGCGCTTAGAGGCGACAGTTAGGCGGAGTGTGTGGGACCCATTAAACGAGTAATTATTTTTGACGAAGCATAACTTAGCCGGTATTCGACTTAGAGACCCCGGACGCGTATTTACGTTCTGTACATGAATCTAGCACTCGGTGCCAAATCAACGTATAATCCGGAGCTGTAATTTCTGTTCCGTTTTATACACGAGTTTAGCACTTTAGCGGTAGTCAGCATACAATAGTGTGTAACGGTATTAAATTAAATTAAATTAAATTAATTACATTAATATAATAATACAATTATGTTAGTGTTTGTAATTAAATATTATTAATATATTTTTTTTTACACATTTTTATAAATCAGCTTAAGTATTAAAGTATATAATAATAAAATAATGTTAGTCCTAGTAATTAAGTTGTTTTCTTATCATAATTATTAAATTAAAAAATATGTACTATATTAAATATAAATAGAGTTTGTTACCTATGTCAATGTGATTTTGCATTTGCCGTATTGTTTTTTATATTTTCTGTTAAACATCTTTTTTTGGTACATCTTTTCCTAGATGGCATTTCACTATTTGATGGTCGACCTGCTTGAATTCGTTTGACACCTGTTTTTATCTGACTTATTCTTCTTGACCGCGATGTTGGTTGGATTCCTATTACTTTGCCTCGACGTAATACACTAGCAGAAATTTCAGATAATTCTGAAACTGTAGTAATTCCACCAAGTTTTTTGTTTAATAGTTTTATTTTGTTTAAAACTAATTTGTTGTTGTTATTTTTTGCTATTTGTTTTATATTATTTATATTTTTAGTTAGTAATTCCAATTCAATATCCATTTCACTGTCAGTTAAAGCATTGTCATTGTTAATATTAGAATCATTTTCTAGTCCAATTTCCATATTAAATTTTCGCATACTACTATGAAAATTTAAACTATCCAAGTTATTTTCTTTTTTATTTAACGTTGCACATTCAGTCTCCATCTCCGTATCCATTGTGTCCATATCCATTTTATGTAGAAACGTATGGTCAAATTTATTTCCTACAGCCAAAGTTCCTATTTCAATTCGATCATTGTCTGTCAAGTTAGGAAGATTATTAACAGTGTCTCCAAATAAGTGTACTGCACATATATGCTTGCAAAATCGACCACCTTGACCGAATGCACAATCACAAAAAAAATTTAATTTATCGTTTTTTATAACTGTATAAAAATTATTTCCAGATGATGAATTAATTTCATAAGTTGTATCATTTTTTTTGTTTACTTCAAGTAATTTAGCTTTATTACAAAAATTTTGGAAAATAATTTCAAATTTTGTAACACGAAATGACGAAAACTTTATCAGACGCCTCTTATGATAATCCTCTAAAATTTTACAAATAAAGTCGACTAAAGCTGCCGCATTAAAAGCTTTACAACGTTCAAGAACAATGTCTTTAAAAACTCTTATGGATGCTTCTACAATATTATTGGTATTATGGCCATGAGTTGGAAATTGATTTCTATAACATATACACCATTCTAACATTCTATTTCGGTAAGTCATCATATGTTTTGAAAAAGAGTTGATTTATCGTTGCATAGTTCATCCATAAATACTTTAGCTTCGATTTCATTGGGTGAATACATAACTTTTCGAAATCTTTGCATGTATAATTGCCTTTCAAATTTACTAACACCATGTTTACTTTCGCATAACCAACGCCATAATGCTTGTAGAACATGAAATGTACATAAAAATAGAGTAGAATTTGGAAAAATTTCATTAAGGGCTTGGCGTTCTGATTTACTATCATCTGTCATAAAAATCGATGGCTCCATTTGTCCATAAAAAGCAAAATTTCCCAATGATTTTCTTAAAAATTTGAAAGCACTAGCATAATCATCTTTAGTAGTGAATTTATGAATCAATACCGCTATTGGTATACCACCAACCTTTGTAACCCCAAAGAAAAATGTAACACATGAGCCACCTTGGTCACACGAACCACTGGAATCGACAAAAACAATATCTCTAGAAAGTGGTAATCCATGAGCTCTA